CACTGGTTGGCCGCTAAGAGGGTTTTGCGTTATCTAGCAAGTACATCGGGCATGGGGCTAGTGCTGGGAGGACGCAAGCCAATGGTCCTTACTGGGCACGCAGACGCTTCTTGGGCAGACGACGCTGAGACCCTCAGGTCCTCTCAGGGCTACTACTTTAGCCTTGGTGCAAGCGCGGTCTCATGGAGGTGTAGTCCAGCTGTGAGGCTGAGATCTACGCTGGTACCATGGTGGCACAGGAACTCCGCTGGCTGACCTTCTTGCTCACAGACTTAGGTGAGCAGCCTAGCTCTGCCCAAGTTCTGTACGCAAACAATAGGGCCATGATCCTCTTGTGTCAGGAGCCTCGACTGGAGGGTAGAGCGAAGCACATCCAGCTGCGGTACTTCCTCCTGCGCGAGCTACAGCACCGTCGCCAGGCCCGCGTAATACACTTGGCCTCCGGTGCCAACACATCTGATATCTTTACTAAGGCACTTGCGCTTAAATATCATCAGCGGCACTGTTTGCAGCTTGGTCTAGTTCCTGTAGCTACTCAGTTGCTAGGACCTTGATTGTGTACTTCTCTTAATATATACATTTCTGACTGGCCTTGTGGCTTCTCTTCAAGTGGTCGGACTTGTAGTGCCGCCCTGGTTTGCTCTTGTCTTGTTTGTACTCTTGCTGATTGGTCTTCGGACCCTTGCCTCAGAGGCTGGACTAGTAGTGCCACCCTGAGCTATGTGTCGACTTCCAGGCACTGGCCCTCATCTGGCCTAGGGGGCGTGTCAGACATATTTGTATATGTTATAATAGGCTAGATAGGTGCATGCTCTTAGAGGGTACAACACTTGCACAAAATCAACCTGTATGCCTCAATCTCGTTAACCTTTCTACTCTGAGACTAAAATCCGTCTGATGGTATGAAATCCGTCGGATGGTCTGAAATCCGTCTGATGGTCTGAAATTTGTCTAATGGTCTGAAATCTGTCTGATGGTCTGAAATCCGTCTGATGGTCTGAAATCCGTCTAATGGTCTGAAAATCAGACCTGTTTTTTGCCATTCATCTGATTTTTGGACGAGGTGAATTATTCCGTCTGATTCTCAGTCATAAGTTTTCGTCTGAAATTACAGACTTGGTGTAGTTTTTCGTATGAAATCTCAGATAGCTCGTACAATTTCGTATGATACCGACAAATTCGCCTTATGGCCCATTGCGCCAATGGGGCAGTTGGCCACTGCCTCACTCTCCGCCCTCCAGTTCCTGGCCGGTGGGCAGGCACATCGTATTTCACACGCACCGCGACTGCCAGCGCAGAATTTCGAATCTGGTTCCGCAGCAAACCTGACTGAGGTTGCTGCCACGCTTTTGACCGCTAGTGCGTTACGTGCAGGGCTGCCAGCCTCCGTGCATCTTCATGCTGGCAGCAATGTGACAGCACACAGCGAAGCAGCCAGGAAAGCCACCCACCGCATGCCAAAAAGGCGTGCGTTTCGTAATGGAGCTGCAACCTTGCCATGCTGCAGCTCGACGAGGCGCTTCTCTGTAAAGGGAGTCTCGGCAGAAACTCAGAGTCACTTCACCTGCTCCACCTCTTTCTTCTAGGCCACGCAACATGATGAGCATGGCTCTTTTGCTCGGCTCCCAGGCTGCCTAGATGCCCACTGCAGCTCATTTTCTAGGCTTCGATGGCTTCCGAGACTACGCCATCAAGCGTCTCTCCAGTTAGGCAGTCAGCAGTACTTGCGGAGCCCCCTGGCTCAGTCCCCCCAATTATTAGTGGCCTAGATCTACTCACTGGTGCGCTGAACCGCGCTGTAATCGACGATCCCCCTTTGACAGTACTCGAGGCTCCTCTGTCACCTCTCCCACCGATCGACGATGAGTCGTGGGTTTTCTTTGACAAAGAAAACACCACGTGTGACACTTTGATCCCTCCAATCCCATCACCGACACCTGGCAGTTCGTCAGTGCGTGCAGCCTCACCTCCCCGTGTGATGCGCAGTCCTGTTCTGCCTGCCCATGCCCCAGGCAAGACAAAGTATCAACAACGCAAGCTGACCTTCAGACGCCCTTTGTCAGTGCAATCTCCACCCTCCGTCAACCTGCGAGCCCGATCCTCCAAAGAAGCTTCAGCCGACCTTGCAGATGACGACGGACCCTTTCCGCTCACCGTCCCTGAGCTCCAGTTGAAAGCAAAGGAGCAGTGGCATTGGCACTTCCCATGGCTGCTGATTTCCGAGACCTCGGAGGGACGACCTTGCATGAAGTGCAGCGTCTGTATTGCGTATGGCGATGACCCTAACTACCAGTACGGGCGCAACGGCAAAGGGGGGATAGACATTCAAAAATAAATGATGCGCAAGCACCATTACAGTCAGAAGCACGAGTCGACGATGGCGCGGAAGGAGCAGAAGGATGGCAAGAACGCGAAGCAGAAAAGCATCACCGACTACGAGAACGGCGACGACGAGGCCAAGCATCTGAAACGTCTCATGGCTATTGTCATCTGCCTTTGTAAGTCTGACGCCCTCATTCTTTTGTTCGTGTACTTGTCCAGTTCATAGCACAGCAGGGTACACCTGATCTGCTAGTGAAAGACAACGAGACGTATCAGAGCGAGTGACTATTGCTCATGTTGCTTTACTTTTCAAGCCAGCTTGATTCTTTAAAATATCCTTGAATTCTAGCATTCGGAAACTCTCCTCGCAGGTACGGCTTCAATCAAGTGGTGGAGAACATCGTCTCCTACCTCCGCACCAAATAGATGACTCACATCAGTGCCTCTCCATTCCTCAGCATCCAGCTCGACAAGTCAACCGATCGTCGTCGTTGTAAACATATGATTGTTTACCTGACATTCCTCCGCGGAATTGCGGTGGTGACCGAATTCTTCGGGCATACCACTGTTGAGAAGTGTGATGCAGCTTCCCTTCAAGTTGTTCTACTCACTCACTTGGAGTCTCAAGGAGTTGACCTCAACAAGATATGTGGCATCAGCACTGATGGGGCCAGTGTGATGACGGGAGCGCAAGCTGGTCTCGTGGCTAGGCTACGTACTCGGATTCCGCACCTGGTCTCATGTCACTACATCACTCATAGGTAAGTATGACCTTTCGCCGATCTCCTTTGCTTCTTTGATTTGCACAATACATACAACTAAATGGGTTGTTTCAATAATGTGCCCCGGCAAAGGACATTGCAGACGACTTTCCCGACCTTGGCACCATCGACAGAGTCGTGCGCTCCCTGACCGCAGTTCTTGGTCGTTCCATCATCGTCCACTATTGCTTCAAGGAGCTGCAGGAAGTCGTCTCCGAAACCAACCTAGAAATGCAAGGCATCCATCAGATGCGGTGAGGCTATCCAGCACCTAGTGGAAGTATTCCCTGTCGCCATCATGTTGCTGTACGAGTATGATAGGCGCATGTACAACGTTGTTATCTCGTTAAAGTCCCACTTCTTGCTCTACTTCTTGGCGGATGTGCTGAGGGAACTCAACGCGTTCAACCTCAAGTTCCAACGTCGCCATGTGAGGTTGCCAGATGCGGATGTGCTATAGTAGACTATAGATTAATGCATAAACGTGTCTCCTACTTTGTGTTATGCTTGGCAGGTCGACGTCACCCAGGTGCTTAGGATGGTCGACAATACAGTCATGTCCTTGCGTGACCGCTACGTCAACTACGGTTCCCAGTTCGGCCCTGGCAACAGGGACTTCGCGGATTTCTTGAAGCTCTACGCGGGGGGGGGGGAGGATGTGGCAATAGAGGGGATTGATGCCCATGGGACCCCGACAGTGCACACCTACGAGCTACACATGCGGCCGCTGGAGGGGCATAGGAGCAAGGGGGGTCTCGAATCACTGAAGCAGTTGGCAATGGATGTGGTCAACGGCATCATCGACCACCTTCAAGAGCGCCTCACCGACTTGTCGAAGCTGAACGGGACAAGGCTCTTCAAGCAGACAATGTACCCGAGGTCAACGGCTAGGCGCCAGCGAAAGTTCCTCGTGTGGCTGCAGTCTCTGCGCGGCCTCTACAAACATGATGTGTCGGCGCCTGACACTCTGGCCGGTGAGTTTTGGCGGTGTTGATGTGCCTGTTTACCCTTTTCACTCTTTAATCCGTTTGTAGAGGATGGTACAAATAAACCATGTAATTTCCGCGTGCATTCCACCCCCGTCAGGTGTACACTAGGGTAAGGTGAAGGCAGAGCTCGTTAGCTTCACGACAATCATGTCGACGCACAACGATGAGCTGGGCTTCCATGAAGTACTCAAGAACATGCTCTCCACGCCAGACTGGATGACCGCCTACCCCAGCCTAGTGCTCATCTGGATCGCCTGCGCCATCCTTTCGCTCAACACAGTGGAGTGCGAGCGCGGGTTCAGTCGCCAGAACGTCATAAAGAGCTGGCAGTGCGGCAACCTCGGCGACACGAAGCTAGGACATCTGATGACATTCTCGCTGCTGGATTACCCAATGGACTAGGAGGAGATGGTGGCGATCTGGCGCGGTGCGAAGAAGAGGTGGCCTGCCAAGGAAGTAGTGACGGAGCAGAGCGAGCGGCAGGCAAAACGGCCGAAGAAGTCAGCAGCACTAAGAGCAGCCAAGACAGTAGCTAAGGCAGCAGCAAAATCAGTCAGGCAGGCAGAAGCAGCCCGGGCCTTTGAAGACGATGGTGCGGCTGGCCCTATTTGGAGGAGGAGAAGCAAGTGTAAGAAGATCCAGGTCTTAGTGTCCGAGAGCGATGAAGATATTGAGGAGCCAGGCAGCTCTGACTTAGTAGAATGGCGGCATGGCATGGCACCTCATCGAGCATCTAGTGTAGCTACTACTACCGCTAATTTCTAATGTAGTGTAAGGTGCAGCACCATCAGCAGCAGCACCAGTTGCAGCAGCACCATTAGCAGTAGTTCTCGTAGAAATTGTGTAGATGACATGTATCATTTGAACGTAGCACTGGACCATAGTACCTAAATTTCATCCGAAATGGCAGACCTATCAGAATGAGTAGTTGAGTAGAATAGAAGGATACAGGGGTATATAGACTAGGGGTTGTACCCTCTAAGGCACAATCCAGTATAGTCTACAGTAACTACATAAGTTAAATTTGACACACCCCCTAGACTATTTAGGGGCAGTGCCTAGCAGGAGAAGAAGCAGCTCAGGGCGGCACTACTAATCCAACCTCTGAGGCAAGGGTCTAAAGACCAGTCAAAGGAATACAGGCAAGGCAAGAGTAAGACCAGGGCGGCACTACTAGTCCAGCCACTGGGAGAGGCCACAAGGCCAGTTAGGGTAATATATATAGAAAATGTTTGTACACAATCAAGGCCCTAGCAAGTGAGAAGCTACAGGAACAAGACCAAGCTGTATACTGTGCTGCTGATGATCTTTAGGCGCAAGCGCCTTCGTAAAGATATCAGATGTGTTGGCACCGGAGGCCAAGTGTACAACGCGGGCCTGGCGACGTTGCTGCAGCTCACGCAGGAGGAAGTACCGCAGCTGGATGTGCTTCGCTCTGTCCTCGAGTCGCGGCTCCTGACACAGGAGGATCATGGCCCTGTTATCAGCATGCAGGACCGGAGCAGAGCTAGGCCGCTCACCTAAGTCAGTGAGCAAGAAGGTCAGCCAGCGGAGCTCCTGTGCCGCCATGGCACCGGCGTAGATCTTGGCCTCACAGCTGGACTAGGCAACAGACGAGGAGCGAGTAGCTCTCCATGAGACAGCACGTGAACGAAGACTAAAGCAGTAGCCCTGTGAGGACCTAAGAGTCTCAGCGTCGTCTGCCAATGAAGCGTTTGTGTGCCCAGTAAGGACCACTAGCCTATGCCCTCTAAGCACTAACCCCATGCCCGATGTACTTGCAAGATAACGCAAAACCCTCTTAGCGGCAGACCAGTGCTGAGGTCGGTGTCTGCCTGTGGCCACAAAGCGAGCCAGGATGCTGAGAGGGTATGCGAGATCTGGGCGAGTGCAAGTCATCAGGTACATGAGGCAACCCACCAGCTCGGTGTAAGGGCCACTGGGCTCTACCAACTCCTCAGGAACTGGAGCAGAGAGCCTGTGGTCTACAGACAGAGGGGTGGGCTGTGCAGAGGAGAACTGAAGACCGAACCTCTGAAGAACCTGGCGCAACAAGTGTGACTGAGTGAGGGTGATATGGTGCGCGCTGCTCTGTCCCTGGAGATCTGCAAGCCAAGGTAATGGCGCAGTTCTCCAAGGTCAGTACAAATGTGTCTCTTCAGCAGCTCTACCTTCACGGAGGCCAGTGCGTCCCTGTCTGCAGTGGCGAAGACCAGGTCGTCTGCGTAAACAAGGATGTAGAACGGAGTCTGGCCAGTACGAACAAAGAGCGAGGGGTCAGCAGAGGATGGAAAGAACTGCAGGTCAGCAAGGGTAGCACGCAGCATGTCGTGCCACTCACGAGGAGCCTGTCGCAGGCCGTAGACGGGGCGCCGCAGGAGCCACTGGGTCCCAGGAGGGAAGGTACCAGTGAAACCTTGAGGGTAACGCAGGTAGACCTGCTCATGTAGACTGCCCTAAAGAAACGCAGTAGAGAAGTCGAGGGAGTGAAGCTCGTAGTCATGCTGAGCTGCTACGTGTAGCAGCACCCGAAGAGTAGTCATCTTCGGGGTCGGAGCGAACGTCTGAAAGAAGTCCACCCGCTCACGCGGACTGAAACCTCTAGCCACGTAGTGCGCCTTGAACACAGGCGGCTCTCCAGGAGGGCGCTTCACCTTGAAGAGCCAGCGGCCATCGACTACGTTCACCCAAGGTGGGGGAACTGCGTCGACGTAATTGCCGGTGGATCTCCAAGATGCCATCTCCTGCTCCATGGTAGCTATCCACTGAGAGGCCCAGGGTCCCGAAACCGCCTTAGCGTAAGTGCGAGGGGTCGGGATGTCGAAAGCGTCGAGGTCACCCTCGGGGACTAGAAGCATGGAACAGAGATGGGGAGCAGCCTCGGACAGGAAAGCAAGCTCGTACTGACAGTCCTCCAGGACGTCACTGCCGAGGGCAGGAGCACCCCCGACAGACGGAGGACAGGCAGGGTCAGAGACCAGAGCGGTGGCGTAGTCAAGGCGGCGGGTAGAGGCGATGTCAGCGACCGCAGCGACAAGAGCGTCAAGACACGAAACCGGTACAATATTTTATGGCGGATTCCTACGAAGTTGGATCCAATGCACGTGGTGCAGTGCGTTGCAAGCGCGGAAATTTAAGTTTCACTGCAGTTTGATTGGGTAGTAAGTGAAGTTGGATCCAACTTCGCTGGTTCCAACTTTGCAGGAATCCACCCTTATAAGGAGCACGCCTGGGGAAAGTACTGCAATGGTACCCGTAAGGATTTGCTGCAATGGTAATACTCTGCCTGGCAAACACCACCACCGCTGTCCAATACACGTCTTGCTGGTTATGGCAGTGAGAAGTTCTGTCATGGAGCTAAAACCTGGAAACAATCTGGAGTTGGCTGCGACCTGCTGCTATTTTCACCCTGTCCAATACACGTCTCGCTGATTAAGGCAGTGAGAAGTTCTAGGCACCTAAACAAAAAACAGGGTTTACCCCATACCCATCTCAGGGTTTTTTTTATAAAGGAAACAAACTACCGGTTTCTCCGGGTGCTCGCAGATGCCTGCTGCTGCTGCCTGCTTTTCTGCGTGCTTTTCTGTGTTGCCTGCATTGCTGTCTGCTCCAGCGTCGCTGCCATCTCCTCCTCTGCCTCCTGAGAAGGGCATAAGTTGAGAGGCGAGCACATGGGAGAGGAGAGCACATGGGTCCAAGACAGCAGGAGGGTTATGCAGAGACCAGCAGTGCCTGCCCTGCTGTCTGCTCCAATGTTGCTGCCATCTCCTCCTCTGCCTCCTGGTAAGGAGGACAAACGTAAGTTGAGAGGCGAGCACATGGGAAAGGAAAGCAGTTGGGGAGATGGCAGCAGGGCCCAAGTATGATCATCGGCCAATAACACCCCGTCCAACACCATAGCATCTTAACAGCGCAGCACCATCACAGCACACCTTACCATGATGGCTTGGTACTGATGCTCCTCGTGAAAGCATCCATGAGGCAATAACACCTCAACACCTCAGCACCACCCCACCCCAGCATGGCACACCACCACACCATAAATGCACGGCTTACCACCATGGCTTGGAACTGATGCTCCTCATCGATAGCATCCAACACATTGGGATCATCAATGCACTCATGTGGCAAAAACACCTCTGACACCAGAACAAATCAACACCATCACAGCACCACATCACCACACCACCACAGCATCACACCACCACACCACCACACCACCACACCATCGCAGCATCCCTCACCACCATGGCTTGGAACTGCTGCTCCTCATCGATAGCGTCCAACACATTGGGATCATTTAGAAGCTCCTGACGATGCGAGATAGAGGGACCAAGGGAGGGAAGATACTGGGATATTGAACAGTGGAAAACAGCATGATTGGTTCGCATAACCCTGGAAGTTGCCAGAAGTAGACACTTAAGTTAATGTGTCGTTGATTCTTTCATTAAGATCAAGTGAGGTGAGATTGCCGAATCTTCATTGTACACTGTGTTTTGAAGCATTCTCAGGGGAAAAAGGAAACATTGTACACAAGAAAGGACTTACAGGATCTTCGGCCACAAGAATCTCATTAGTCTTGGGGTCCTGATGTGGTTTGAATAAAGGAGTAAGGTTACAAAGACGGAAGGGCGTTTAACGGTTAAGGGGAAAGGGACACGTGGGGGTTGATTACAGGAAAGGGTAACAAAGGGTGAGGATTCACTTCGTAGGCGCCTCAAGTCAAAAGTTGCTGATGAGATTTGAGCGGAGGAACAAAGGGTAAAAGCATCCAGAGATTGATAACGCACAGTTTTGGAAGGAGCAAACGGCCGGAGGAAGGAGTTTGACAGAGTGATGGAGAGATAGGGAGCGGCAGATACAGAAAAAAGGAGAGAGAGGGGAGGAGTGGGGGGAATTTCGGGTACTTACCCTGTACGCAACGAACATGAGGGGGTCAAAGGGCGTGTAGATCATGTATTCTTGACCGCCCTGATGGGATGGCATGTGGGTTTGGGTGGGGGGCGACGGGGGTGAGGGGGCGACGGGGGCGAGGGGGGCGAGGGGGGCGAGTTGTATTTTGAGTCGACTCGAAATACATCTTGACCGCACGATGGGATGGCACGTGGGTTTGGGTGGGGGCGAGGGGGGTGAGGGGGGTGAGGGGGGAGAGGGGGGTGAGGGGGCGAGGGGGCGAGGGGGCGAGGGGGGCGAGGGGGGCGAGGGGGGCGAGAGGGGCGAGGGGGCGAGGGGGGCGAGGGGGGCGAGGGGGCGAGGGGGGCGAGGGGGGCGAGGGGGGCGAGGGGGACGGTTGCAAGGAGAGCGGCGAGGGGGATTTGAAGTCAGAAAGGGCGTCTTGATGATGTACTCTTGACCGGCCTGGAGGAAAAGTCAATGCATGGCTGTCACACAGAAGAATTGATACAAAGCGCCGGTATGTATATAAACTCACACACGAGCACGTGGTGATGTCAACGCCTTCTGCGAGTGAACCCCCGATGCCAAACCCAAGCTCTGCGTGTTATACGGTGGCACGGGATAACAAAGAAAGGTGAAAAAAGGAGGGGAAAGAAGGTGCAGCAAAGAATAAGAAATATGGGAAAATAACGACAAATAAAAGAGGATCAAAAGGAACAAGTAAAATAACTATTTACCCTTTCCCCCCCTCCACCCCCCCCAAAAAAAAACAGAGAAACGCATAACATAAGCCTAGCGTCAGCATGCCCTCACCAGTGTCTAGATTGATGACGTCATCTTCTGTGAAGCAGATTGCTCCCCTGAGGGTGAGTGTGAAGCTGAGAGGAGCGCCAAGAGGGAAGCAGGGGGGGGGGAGGAGAGAAGAGGAGGGAAGAGGAGGAAGAAGGAGATAGTAGAAATATGAAATTCAGGCATCCTTGGTGATGGAAATGGGGGCTTGAAGGATGAGGGGGCAGCTGAGGAAAGGGAAGGGAGAAGATGAGGAGGTGTGGTAGGCAGGTGACTTTTGAGTCGACTCAAAAGGAGATGTGGTAGGCTTTTGAGTCACTCAAAAGGAGGTGTGGTAGGCTTTTGAGTGGACTCAAAAGGAGGTGTGGTAGGGAGGTGACTTTTGAGTCGACTCAAAAGTCACGTTGAGGAAAGGGAAGGGAGAAGATGAGGAGGTGTGGTAGGGGGATGTGGTGGAGTGGTGGTTGGTTCACCCGTGGGAAGGGACGCATGGACTCCAAACCGAAGTCATCATCTCACTCTCTTTAGAGTAGATGGCGTTTTAAAATGGAAGTTACATTGATTGCCTTTTGACTCAACCTGGCGGTGTGAGGCAACGCGCGCACCTCCTAAACCCTGGTGGCCCTTCCATGTGCCCTCTCTTGCGAAAGCATAAGAAATGTGTCATCTCGAACCGAACCAGGAGTCTATTTTTAAGGCGCCTTTAAAAATAGACTCTTCGTCATCTAGGACTGAACCAGGAACCCTAAGCTGTAGGTGATTGTTGAGAATTATCAAAAAAATCTTAGGGAGTGTGCAGAATCCTCCCCTCCTCCCCCCCTCCCCCCCCCCCCTCCTTCAGTGCACGTAGTATCGTATCCCCGCATCTATGCTGCTGCCGGCAGAGAGAATCATGCTAGCATCTCACTGCAACAAGTTGATTCACCCCAAGCGCGTCAGGTGAAGGGCGTCAGGCGAAGGGCGTCAGGTGAAGGGCGTCAGGTGAAGGGCGACAGGTAAAGGCTACTCTTGGCGAGCGCATATGCTGCAGCCGGCACGGTTCTCTCTGCTCCCCTCTGTGCACTGCACCGCCGCACTCATACAAATTCGGAGCTTTGATCTCACTCAAGTCGTGTTCCTGCCTTACCCCGAAGGTGTCACATAACATGCTGCAGGCTCTTCTTTGCCAGTGCATACGCCGCAGTGAATGTGACCCTCTCCGCCTCCTCATCGTCCACCTCCTGTGGCTCTCCTCACTTCCCAAGTGCAGGAAGATCCAACACCGACTCTACCCCGTAGTCTCACCCTGAAGGTGTCACAGAACATGCTGCTGCAGGCTCTTCTTGGCCAGTGCATACGCCCAGTGAATATGACCCTCTCCGCCAGGTGCAGGCTTAGGTGCAGTGCAGGCTTAGGTGCAGTGCAGGCTTAGGTGCAGGCTTAGGTGCAGGCATAGGTGCAGTGCAGGCTTAGGTGCAGGCTTAGGTGCAGGCTTAGGTGCAGGCTCTTCTTGGCCAAAGCATAAGCCGCAGCGGGCATGATCCTCTCCGCCTCTTCACCGTCCACCTCCTGTACCTCTCCTCACTGTCCCAGTGCAGGCATATACAGCACCAGCTCGACCACGTAGTCTCAGCCCGAGGGAGTCAAGTGCAGGCTCTTCTTGGCGAGAGCATACACCGCTGCCGGCATGATCCTCTCCGCCTTCACGTCATCACAAATCATACCACTTACACCAACTACAGTCTCACTCCATCAGCTCACCCCGAGGGTGTCAGGTGCAGGCTCTTCTTGGCGAGCGCATAAGCCGCAGCGGGCATGATCCTCTCCGCCTCTTCATCGTCCACCTCCTGTAGCTCACCCGTTCTCCCCGAGATGCGGAAAAACATTATCGGACTGGTGTATGGAGGGGAGAGGGGGGAGGGGAGAGGGGGAGAGGAAAGGGGGGCATGATTCTCTCCGTCTCCTCATCGCCCACCTCCTGTAGCTCGCCCGATCTCCCTGAGATGTGGAAGAACATAATCGGCCTGCGAGTGGGGGGGGGGGAGGATGGGCGATTGAAGGTGTGGCATGGCATGGCATGGCATGGCATGGCATACGATGGCATAAGATGGCATGAGATGGCACGGCATGGCGTGAGATGGCATGAGATGGATAGGCAAAGAAGCCTCCCTCCTCACATCTCCCGCCTCCTGCAGCTCGCCCGCTCTCCCTGAGATGGGAGCTGCAGGAGGGAGGCAAGGAAGAAAATGATCGGACTGGTGAATGGGGGGAGGGGGGGAAGAGGGAGGAGACTTTTGAGTCGACTCAAAAGGGGAGACTTTTGAGTCGACTCAAAAGGGGAGACTTTTGAGTCGACTCAAAAGGGGAGACTTTTGAGTCAACTCAAAAGTTGGTGAATGGGGGGAGGGGGGGAAGAGGGGGGAGACTTTTGAGTCGACTCAAAAGTTGGTGAATGGGGGGAGGGGGGGAAGAGGGGGGAGACTTTTGAGTCGACTCAAAAGTTGGTGAATGGGGGGAGGGGGGGAAGAGGGGGGAGACTTTTGAGTCGACTCAAAAGTTGGTGAATGGGGGGAGGGGGGGAAGAGGGGGGAGACTTTTGAGTCGACTCAAAAGTTGGTGAATGGGGGGAGGGGGGGAAGAGGGGGGAGACTTTTGAGTCGACTCAAAAGTTGGTGAATGGGGGGAGGGGGGGAAGAGGGGGGAGACTTTTGAGTCGACTCAAAAGTTGGTGAATGGGGGGAGGGGGGGAAGAGGGGGGAGACTTTTGAGTCGACTCAAAAGTTGGTGAATGGGGGGAGGGGGGGAAGAGGGGGGAGACTTTTGAGTCGACTCAAAAGTTGGTGAATGGGGGAGGGGGGAAGAGGGGGGAGACTTTTGAGTCGACTCAAAAGTTGGTGAATGGGGGGAGGGGGGGAAGAGGGGGGAGACTTTTGAGTCGACTCAAAAGTTGGTGAATGGGGGGAGGGGGGGAAGAGGGGGGAGACTTTTGAGTCGACTCAAAAGTTGGTGAATGGGGGGAGGGGGGGAAGAGGGGGGAGACTTTTGAGTCGACTCAAAAGTTGGTGAATGGGGGGAGGGGGGGAAGAGGGGGGAGACTTTTGAGTCGACTCAAAAGTTGGTGAATGGGGGGAGGGGGGGAAGAGGGGGAGACTTTTGAGTCGACTCAAAAGTTGGTGAATGGGGGGAGGGGGGGAAGTGGGGGGAGACTTTGGGGTCGACTCAAAAGTTGGTGAATGGGGGGAGGGGGGGAAGAGGGGGGAGACTATGGGACGGCCAATTGACCCGCCCCATCCTCATCTCCCATCTCCTGCAGCTCGCCCGTTCGTCCAGAAATGCGGTCTGCAGCCATGTTGGAAAATACGCGTCTAGCGATTTATACGCTAGCGTTTATACGCTATACGCTTGGGTTTGGGGTCCAATACGGCAGGAATACGCATGCCCGGGCAGGAAAAAAAGGTTTGCCCGGGCAGGGTAACAAAACCAGGGGGCAGCAAGGAAGCCATGATGGGAGCGGCTAGGCTAGGGTTTCTGAAAACGTGACTCTCAAATGAGGCATTTTCTGAGGGGTCGAATTTTGACCTGCCAATTCCCTCCCTTTCACCACACTCAACCCCCCCGTCCACAAAGTCAAATTGGCTTCCAGCCAAGCAACTCCCTCCCTTTCACCGCACTGAACTCCCACCCATCTACAAACTCCAACTTTTCCTCACAAATGCTCGACTCTCCCCCCATCATCTCCCCCATCGTTTTGGTAGAAGACCAACAAGCACCGTAACTCGCGCAATCTCCGCCACCTAGCTAAGCACACCACCGTTTCACTTCAGAACTGAGATTTGGACGAAAATGGGGAACGACAAACACGGGATGGCTTTCAAACACGTACAGAGCAGGCTGGGGTATGGGCAAAAAAGAATGGGCGAAAAAACCGCGACGTCGCGAAGTCGCGGAAAAAAAAAAAAAAAAAAATCGCCGGGCAGCCCGGGTATCGCGTATTGCTTATTCCAAGCGTATCTGCGTATTGCATATATTCGCAAGCGTATATACGCAATACGCAAAGCCTTCTGTGCGTATATTCCAACATAGGTCTGCAGATATCCCAAACATGACGGGTCTGTAGTAGGCTTGAGCAAAACCGGGTAATTACCCGACCCGACCCGGTTTTGCATTACCCCACCTCGGGTCGGGTATTTTCGGGTCGGGTCCGGGTCGGGTAATATGCCCAGGACCCTTACCCGGACCCGGCCTTAAGGGGACGGGTAATACAATACCCGCCTGGCGGGTCCGGGTATACCCGACCCGGTTACCCTGAAAAGCGGGTAATACTACCCGCCACCTACTAGTGGACATCCTCAGGTTGGGCTATGCTAGGTAGGGTTTCTGAAAAAGCGACTCTCAAATGAGAAACTCGTTCCCCCTCACCTCCAAAACCGTTTTGCCGCAAAACCTAAAACACAGCGCGACTTACGCCCATGTCTAGGTGTAATACCCGAACTCGGGTATTATTTACCCGCCCGGGTCGGGTACCCGTTACCCGACACGTCGGGTAGCATTTCGGGTAGCGGGTATTGATACCCGGCCCGGGTAACCCGGACCCGACCCGCCGGGTAATTTTCAGGATTTCCGATACCCGACCCGCCCTAAAAGCGGGTCCGGGTACCGGGTACCCGACCCGGGCGGGTAGTTTGCTCAACCCTAGTCTGTAGTGGGGGGGATAACAACAGTGTTGCTGTAGAGGAAGGAATCGTATTTCAAGCACCTGCATGCCCCCCCCCCTCTTTTACAAACTTCCAAGCATCTGCATCTCCCCCCTCTTTTACAAACTTCCAAGCATCTGCATCTCCCCCCTCTTTTACAATCTTCCAAGCATCTGCATCTCCCCCCTCTTTTACAATCTTCCAAGCATCTGCATCTCCCCCCTCTTTTACAATCTTCCAAGCATCTGCATCTCCCCCCTCTTTTACAATCTTCCAAGCATCTGCATCTCCCCCCTCTTTTACAATCTTCCAAGCATCTGCATCTCCCCCCTCTTTTACAATCTTCCAAGCATCTGCATCTCCCCCCTCTTTTACAATCTTCCAAGCATCTGCATCTCCCCCCTCTTTTACAATCTTCCAAGCATCTGCATCTCCCCCCTCTTTTACAATCTTCCAAGCATCTGCATCTCCCCCCTCTTTTACAATCTTCCAAGCATCTGCATCTCCCCCCTCTTTTACAATCTTCCAAGCATCTGCATCTCCCCCCTCTTTTACAATCTTCCAAGCATCTGCATCTCCCCCCTCTTTTACAATCTTCCAAGCATCTGCATCTCCCCCCTCTTTTACAATCTTCCAAGCATCTGCATCTCCCCCCTCTTTTACAATCTTCCAAGCATCTGCATCTCCCCCCTCTTTTACAATCTTCCAAGCATCTGCATCTCCCCCCTCTTTTACAATCTTCCAAGCATCTGCATCTCCCCCCTCTTTTACAATCTTCCAAGCATCTGCATCTCCCCCCTCTTTTACAATCTTCCAAGCATCTGCATCTCCCCCCTCTTTTACAATTTTCCAAGCATCTGCATCTCCCCCCTCTTTTACAATCTTCCCAAGCATCTGCATCTTCCATGATCATCCACCTCTTGCAGCCCACCCGTTCTCCCGGATATGTTGAAGAACATGATGGGTCTAGAGTAGCAGCAGGCCATAGCATGGTATAGCATGGCATGGTATAGCATAGCATGGTATGGCATGGCATGGTATAGCATGACATGGTATAGCATGGCATGGTAGTATGGCATGGCATGGTATAGCATGGCATGGTAAAACACGGCTGCGATGGACTGGAATGGTATAGCACGGCATGGTGTGGCATTGCTAGGGATGGCACGGCATGGTATGGTATAGATGCATATACCACGCCTTGCCGTACTGTATCATTCCAGTCCATGCATATACCCCCATGCACACTGCGTACAGTCCTTGATTTTGCAGGGTGTTTTTGAGAATTCTCAAAAACACCCCCCATGCACACTGCGTACAGTCTCTCCATGCACATGCAGTCGGGTGGGGTGGGGGGAGAGGAGTGACGTACGTGTCGAGGGGGTGCAGGAGGAAGAAGGGAATGCCGAGCGCGTTGGAGAAGGTGACTTTTGAGTCGAATCAAAAGGTGACTTTTGTAGGTGACTTTTGAGTCGACTCAAAAGTCACCACGCACATGCAGTCGGGTGGGGTGGGGGGGGGAAGGGGTAACGTACGTGTCGAGGGGGTGGAGGAGGAAGAAGGGAACGCCGAGCGCGTTGGAGAAGGCACGTCGGATCACGCAGTCAAGCGAGCGGTTGGTAATGGGGTCATGCTGGGGGCGGAGAGAAGGGGGGTGGGACGGGGCCGGGCGGGGGGGGAGATCAGGTGTGTTATGATTATGCTGGGGAGGAAGGGGGGGAAGTGGGAGGGGTGAGAGGTGCGTCCTACGTGAGGTTGGGCATGGGGTTTGGGTATGGAGGTTGGGCATGGGGGTTGGGTATGAGGGTTGGGTATGAGGGTTGGGCATGGGGGTTGGGCATGGGGGTGGGCATGGGGGTTGGGCATGGGGGTTGGGCATGGGGGTGGGCATGGGGGGTGGGCATGGGGGTGGGCATGGGGGGTGGGCATGTGGGGTGGGCATGGGGGGTGGGCATGGTGTGGGCATGGGGGGGGTGCTGATACAGTAACCCACTGGCCATGGTAGCTCATTATGGTAAGCGTTATTCTCTCTGCAGGCGCAGCTAGCACCACCTCGCCCTCATCATCCAGGACAAACAAACCCTAAACCTTAAACCCTACACCCTACACAAACCCTAAACCCTACACAAACCCTAGACCCTACACAAACCCTAAACCCTGAACAAACTCCAAGGCCACCAGTGGAGCATGGTAACCACACTCACAATAGTAAGTGACTTTTGAGTCGACTCAAAAGTCACCAGTGGAGCATGGTAACCACACTCACAATAGTCAGTGACTTTTGAGTCGACTCAAAAGCAAGGTGCAAAATTGCGGCAGGACGTTTTTTTCGATGGTATTTTTCGATGGTTTTTTTCGATGATTTTGTGAAAAAAACGCCGAATTTTCGTTAGAGATTTTTTATTGCGAGAATTTTTTTTAACTGCCTAAACAAAAAGGGGCATCTAGCTACGACTGCTAGTGGCAACGGCGTCCGAGATAAGTCCCTAAAATGAGGTAAGACCGTCCTCCTCCTCCTCCTCCTCTCCTCCTCCTCCACCTCCTCCTCCCCCTACCATGCACGCACCCCCATGCAGCCCCTCTGGCTCCTCCTACTGCCCAAACTCCTACTCCCCCTACTCATACTATTAGGCTACTCCTACCATGTACCCCCATGCAGCCCCTCCTGCCCCTCCCACTCTTCTCCTCTTTCTCCTCCTACTCCTCCCATGCACATGATGGAACTAAAAAATCGGTCGAAAAAAACGGCCGTATTTTTGCACACAAAAAAAACACAATACGACTACCGTTTTTTTCCGAATTAAACGGCCGTATCGTAAGGTACCGTACCATACGGTCTGAAAATGAATAAAACGGCCGTATTTTGTACCTTGCTCAAAAGTCACCAGTGGAGCATGGTAACCACACTCACGATAGTAAGCGTTCGCCTCTCTGCCGGCGCTGCCAGCACCACCTCGCCCTCGTCGTCCAGGACAACAAACCCGAAACCCTAAACAAACTCCAGGGCCACCAGTGGAGCATGGTTACCCCACTCACATTAGTAAGCCTTCGCCTCTCTGCCGGCGCTGCCAGCACCACCTCGCCCTCGTCGTCCAGGACAAACCCCAAAGTGTTCTTAAGCCTCCCTGGCTCGCTATGGAAGGTAACTAACTCATTATAGCAGGTAACTCACAATAGTCAGCGTTCTTCTCTCTGCCGGCGCTGCCAGCACCACCTCGCCCTCGTCGTCCAGGACAAACCCCGCCGGGGGACTCGGCATGGGAAGCTTCAGCGCTGCTTCCTCCTCTGAGTCCCCCCCATCATCATCCTCATCCTCATCCTCCATATCGCTGCCTTCCCCCCCTCCTCTCCCCCAGAATTCCTCTTTCTCTCCTTCCTCCCCCTCCTCATCGTCAGTAGACTCCTCTCCTCTGCCTCTTCGTGACGAGGCCTGTAATGTAACGCAGCGGAGACGAGAGAGATGAATGCGTGAGAGGAAGCGCAAGACGTCATTCGCCTGTAACACATGCGACTCAGCACATACGAGTTACCACCCCAAAACCCTAAACCATGGATTCTTGGTCCCACCTATCACCCCAAAACCCTAAACGCTTAATACTGAAGCCCAGCAACACTATCCTCCCTCCTCTCCCACACATGAGGTTCTCATTTCTTCCTTCCTTGAGAATCTCATCCTGCATTCTTTGGAAATGCATTCACCATAACTTTTCCAAAACGACCAGTTTCTTCCTACCCCGTTCTCTCCCCTTGCCTCGCTCCACCCCGCTCCACTCCTCCCCACTCCTCCCCACTCCTCCCCATTCCTCTCCTCTACCTGCTTTCGCGCTCCTGCATTCGTTGAAAACGCATTCAATCACCACCTCCCTAGCTCCAATCACTTTCTTCCTACCCCGTTCTCATCTCTCACCTCGCTCCACTCCGCTGCACTCCTCTCCTTTACCTGCTTTCTCGCTCCTGCCGGAGAGCCTCCCCCAGTCACCGCCGACTTTCCCGCGCCCTTAGCTCCCCCTTTCCGGTTGTTCTTCCCTGATTTCGCGTGACCGCTGCTGCTGCTGCTGCCGGCTCTGGTGGTGGTGGTCTTGCTGCTTTCCCTAACTCGTCCTGTGCTCGTGCTGCGACTAGCTAGGACGACCGTGCGGCGGTTCTGGCTCGGCCATGCGATCGTGCGACACTTGTTATACGTCGGCGACGGTTCTTGGGAGGCGACAGCGCATGGCACGCTGCGCGCCAAGCTGGCGGGAGCCTGTGATAGTAACGATTTCATCCTGCCATTCGCTATTATACGCTTGTGCATGAAATGATCAAAATATGTCGCTTTTGACTCAAGGCTGGGCAGCATTTAGAAGGGATTTGTGACGCCAACACTGAAGGCTTTTGACTCATTCGGATTGTAACCCATCTTCCGGTTGGCGAAACACTGCAATCTTACCCATTGACAACGGTCTTCACGAGGTCAAGTAACCAGAGAATCAAGTTTCGCAAAACCTTGCTCATGAGCTGCCTGCGAATCATTAGATTGCGTAGGAGTGAACCTAGCGAGGACTCACTCCATTTTACAAATATTAACAGTCTTGGATGGCTTGTAGGTTCAATTAGCTCATAAATGTTGGAAATATCTCGAGGACTTAAACGTTATTGGAGTGTAACACCACACTTGAGGAAGATCGTAACGGGTACGCGAGGTCAATGGAGGTTACACGAGGGGAGGACAAAGAACACGAAAGGACTCAAAGGATCGCAACCGGAGGTTGCGACTGACCGTTACAACTGCAAGGATGGTAACCGAAGCGACAATCGAGTCGCTGTGCGACTCGATAACCGCTCTTTCAACTGCATTCTACAACTGCTTTGCTTTCCTACTTTCTATATATTGCTGTATGCTTGTTCTTTTAATCAATCACTTGTTCTCACATACTAGTACAAGGGTTCAACCACTCAACTTCCGCTGCACTACTCAAGTCTCCTTTTTACAACTGTGACTTAGTCTCTGAAATATCCTAAGGCCTTTTTATCAGCCCAACATGGTATGAGAGCTGGTCAGAGACCAAACTTCCAGCAACTACGCTCTATCTACAGTTAGCACACCAACGACTTCATTGAATTACAAAGTCATGGACAACAAGGGCAAGAAGATTTCTACGGGCTCACCCAGTGGCCAAGACACTCAACCAGGCAACTCTGGACTGCACACTTCAGGACTGCAGACCGAGACCGGCGCTGCTCAAGAAACAACAGGAAGAACACCAGAAATGGTGACTCCATCACCCTCTTCAAGCATGGACCCCAACCTTATAGAAAGGTTCTTCAGCTTCATGTCGCACTTCGACCAGCAGCAGCAGACAAGGACACCTGCGCATTCAATACAGAGCAACAGAGGAAACATGGGATTAGCGCCAATGAGTATCGACAACTCATCGTTCGGGCGACACAACCAAGCGCCTACCTTTGCGCCTTATCACTCTTCACCGGGGACGTTCGAGTTCATGCCGCCCCGTGCCCAACCAACAGCAGCTGCATCACAACAAACACCAAACGAGATACTGAGTCTCCACGCGCAGTTTTCACACGTGATCAAACTGCAGACATCCTCACCGTTCAACAGACACGATTTCTTCACCTGGAGCTTTGAGTTCGAGCTGCCGATGGAGGCTGCGCACCTCTTGGTATACTTCAACGGGTCCCTACAATTTCCAAGCAATGGCACTGCAAAGGAGCAAGAAATATTTACTTATCAGTCGCTGCTGGCGTACACAGTTCTCCTGCGGAACCTGTCACCACAAGAACAGCAAAGCATCAGAACGTATCGGAGCTATGGAAACTCCGCGGAACTCGCATGGCATCATCTCAAGTGTCTCTATCAAGCAAACGATAGCATGACACAAAGCAGACTCATGCAGCAGCTGACAACAATACAGATGAAGACTGGGGAAAAGGCGATGCAGTATATGAGTCGCTGCCAAACACTCCGCGACCGCCTCCTTCGGTGCGGAGGTACAATCACTGAAGATAGCTTCGTGACACTTGTCCTCGCTGGGCTTGGGCCAGAATGGAGAACCACCCGCTCGCTTCTTCGCGCCCACGGAAGAATTTCGGAGATGCACCTCTGCGCCGAGCTTCATGCTGAACAACAAGAGATGGACCTGTTTGAAGAAAGGCAACCACGAAACAAGCAGCAACCGTTAGTCTTCTATACTCAACGAAGAAACGACAACAACTACAATCGACACGGCAAGCAAGACCAGCACGACACCAGAGGACTCACCATTGTGCCGCCGTTCTGCCACAACTGTCAAACATCTGGACACTCCAAAGTCAGCTGCACACGCCCCATAGCTTATCGTCCAGTAAACCCACAAGTTGCTTCTACTCAAGAAAGCCCACCGAGGCGTTCCTCCGTATCTGCACAAGGCACACCAAACATCATCAGTTGCATGGTACGCATCGACAACTGCGCACCAGGATCACCACCCACTTATGCTCCAGACGAAGAAGAACCGCCGCCGCCGCTCTCACAAGGTCTTCAGGTCAACCCGACATACGCTGCAGTCGCCAACGCCGAACCCACCGAGCGAAACACCTGGTTCTTGGATAGCTGCTGCGGCCAACACATGTGTTCATCCGGGCGCTTCGTGCAGCGAGAGCGACGCCTCAACCGCGATGTCATCATCACCGTCGCCAGCAACGAGAACCTGAAAACAAACAGACAAGGAGTGGTTCAGTTGCAGTCCATGGACACAAACGATATACTACAACTCAACAAAGTTCTCATCGTCGACAATTTGGGATCCAATTTACTAAGTGTCAGCCAGCTAATGGCGAAGGGAATTCACCTGGAATGCAACTCGGACGCCAACGAATTTCGTCTTTACCACGGGAAGGGCGGTCTCTTCATCGGTCGCGCTCTTCTGAAATCGGGTGTCTTCGTGTTGGATTTCGTCCCCGACCGCGGTACTGCCGACAGCGACGGGATCGTGTCGTTCGCCGCCTGGACGCATCCACCGGATCTTGCAGACGACGATGCGGAAGCTGCTCCTGGGGATGAGACTGCCCAACACGCTTTGGCCTGACGCGATGACCCATGCAGTTCACCTGCACAATTTGTTGTCCTCGTCATCACTTCCCAACAACGCATCACCGCACCTGCTGCGGACGGGAAAACAGGGCAGCACAAAATTACTTCGAGTCTTCGGCTGCATGGTACAGTACAGACCCCACACAACACGCGCAGGACGATTCTCTCAACGAGCACGATGGGGACTACACCTCGGCATCGCAAAACATTTCCAAGCATGGAAACTTCTCGACATACAAAACAAAAACACCGTGGCCTCACGTGATATGATCTTCTACGAGCGACTGACGCTGCAGCATTACCTGGACAACATTGACAACACAGAAGACCCCGCGAATGGCTTTGAGGGCCTTCGGTCCTTCGCCGACCGTGCTGCCGAGGCTGACGCAGCAGAAGAAGACGTACCTGGAGCTTCAGAAGCTGCCAGACCACTCCTTTTCTGCTCCGTGCCTATTCCACTCGACAACGACAATCCTCTCGATAGTCACAATCTCGACACCTATTACCACTTCGCTGACCAAGGTTACGTTACACCTCAACCAGTCGACACGAATTTCTCAGAACGCATCGGACCAAATTTCTTACCTGATCCAGAAGATGGTGACGAAGCAGCCTCTTCCGGGAATGAAAATTCCCCTCGACACACACCCACGGGCCTGTTGATACTTGGACTATGGGTCTCCGTCCAGCACCCGCCACCGCCGTCTCCGCGCGAGCCAACGACTCTGTCTCAGGCTCTAGGGGGGGAACATAAGGCGAAATGGAAGGAGGCAATGGAAAAGGAACTGAAAGCTCTGCAAGACCGAAATACATGGAAGCTGGTACCTGCAACATACATCAACGGGAAGAACGTACTCTCGGGAAAGTGGGTGTACCGCATCAAGACTAATGCGGACGGCTCCATCGAACGATTCAAGGCTTGCTGGGTCGTACGAGGATTCGATCAACGATACGGAACCGACTACATAGAAACATTCGCCCCAGTCTCCCGTCACACCTCCTTGCGCATTCTACTCGCCGTCGCGGCCACGAAGAAACTACCACTGCGCCAGATCGACGTCGCAAACGCCTTCCTGTACGCACCTGTGGACGCCCAGATCTTCGTCGAGCAGCCCCACGGATTCATCGACGACCCCACAAAAGTATGTCAGGTGATAAAATCCCTCTACGGGATCAAGCAAGCTCCGCAGCTTTGGCAGCAGCATCTTCATGGCCGCCTCGTCAGACTCGGGTTCCTACAGCTGCCGCACGACCAAGGCATGTACCGACTACAGAAGGAAGGGGGTTTTATTCTACTCATCGTTTACGTCGACGACCTGCTCTACATCGGCTCCACTACCGACATCACCACCTGGTTCGAAGGGGAGCTGAGAAGTGACTTGACACTCACGGTGTCTGACACCGTGACCCAGTACCTGGGTCTGAACGTCGTCGAAGACAACTCGGCGTTCTACCTACACGCTGGAAAGTACGCAGGCGTTGTCGCGAAGAAATTCGGACTAACGCCGACTACAGCTACGACTCCCTACCGCTACGGGAACAACAACGACACCTCCGCAAAACTCCCCGCGAAGCAAATCCAGGAGTATCAGCAGAAGCTCGGCTGCCTACTATTCGCAGCAGTAACTTGCCGACCGGACCTATCTTACAGCGCGAGCCAACTGGCGACGCATCTAAAGCAGCCAAAACAAGATCTCGAGGAACTAAATCGGGCACTACTCTACTTCGTTTCTATGCCGACGACCGGACTTACCTACAGTAATGCAACGACATCGTCCGTACAACTACTCGGATACGTCGACGCCGACCACGCGGGAGACAGGGAAAATCGACGCTCAAGGACGGGCTACATCTACCGACTAGAGCCTATCGGGACTATCTCCTGGCAGTCGAGCAAACAGGAACTAATCGCACCATCTTCGGCTGAAGCAGAATATATCGCCCTCTGCACTGCGACCAAGGAAGGACTTTACCTGCGAGAGTTACTCGAGGAAGCAAAGATTGCAACCCTGCCCGTCTTCTCACTCTTCTGCGACAACCAATCTGTGATCAAAATCGCGAACAAAGACGGTTTCGCCAACCGAACCAAGCACATCGCCTTGCGGTACTTCTTCGTCAAAGATGAAATCGCGAAGGGGAGACTTCAACTCAGTTACTGCCCCACGACAGAAATGGCTGCAAACTACCTGACGAAGAAACTGGCGAAAGCAAAGTTCGATCACTGCATGCTACTGACCGGGCAGATAAACGTCACCGAATCCGGACACGGCAGCACTCCAGAAACGAAGGGGAGTGTTGGAAATATCTCGAGGACTTGAACATTCCTGGAGTGTAACACCACACTTGAGGAAGATCGTAACGGGTACGCGAGGTCAACGGAGGTTACACGAGGGGGAGGACAAAGAACACGAAAGGACTCGAAGGATCGCAACCGGAGGTTGCGACTGACCGTTACAACTGCAAGGATGGTAACCGAAGTGACAATCGAGTCGCTGTGCGACTCGATAACCGCTCTTTCAACTGCATTCTACAACTGCTTTACTTTCCTACTTTCTATATATTGCTGTATGCTTGTTCTTTTAATCAATCACTTGTTCTCACATACTAGTACAAGGGTTCAACCACTCAACTTCCGCTGCACTACTCAAGTCTCCTTTTTACAACTGGGACTTAGACTCTGAAAGATCCTAAGGCCTCTTTATCAGCCCAACAATAAAGCGGCTAGGAAAAAACACTCCGATGCATGCATACAGCAAACAAGTTGTAAAAGAAACAACTCCATAGAATCGATCAGCAATTACAAGTCATCAATCTCCTCAGGCACTGCAGTAGCGGTTGCTTTCCGTGCGCGTAGCTCCCTCAGTGCCATCAGTAGCTCAGTGTCACATACCAAGCGGTCCCGGCTCAAACGCTGACGGCAACCTGGAAAGATGTGAGGCAAACACATAAGTAGCAAATGGGGTGCAAATATAATGGAGAAAGGGGAGCAAATAAATGAAGACCGAAACCCTACCTGCAGTTGAAACAAGAAGGCACTTATGGCTAAAAAAAGCAACATCTGATGAGTTAACTCACCAGACACAGGACAACTGCTGTTCTGAGCGATAATTTCCAAAATGGCACTCTTCTCATACACATGCCGACAATCCATGCTGAGATGGGTGGGTGCACGAAAAGGGAGGAAAGGGGAAAGGGGGTGGGAAAAGGGGGGTTGTCATTCAGTTTTAAATCTCCAGAATTGCTCTCTTCTGATGCGCATGTGAGAATCCAGACCAAGACGAGTGGTTGGGGGGAAAGAAGGGCAATGGAAGGGGCGCTGGTACAGGAGTTTGGGGGGGAGTGGTAAGCGAAACTGTAAGACAACACACCCACAGCGGGTGGTACGGAATGAACACAGATTGAGAGCGCAAGAGAAATAGAGTGACACACACACCCACAGTAGGACAAACGAACACGAATTTCCCACACCAGCAACTAGAGAACAACCAATACCAGACCAGCAAACATGCAAAGGACCCTCACGCGGCAAAAGCGGAAAGGAGGAGAGAAATGCTCACCAGCACACGGGGTCGCTCAGGTCTTCCACATGGCGCATTGTGACTGGGCAGTTGGAGTTCTTCACTATCAGATTGGTGGTCATCATTAGGTCATCATCGTCATCATCGTCATCCCCCGCCCCCTCCCCTCCCTGCCTCACACTCTGCAACGAGGGGAAGAGGGGAGGTTAGGATGACGGGGGTGGGGGAGGCGGGCAGAGGGGGGGGAGGGGAGTAGGGGTTTGGGGAGGGGGAAGAGGAGGGGGGAGGGAGAAGATAACAGCTCGTCGTCCTCACAATCACCATCCCCCACATTTTCTCCACCCTGCCTCACACTCTGCATCAAGAAGAACAGATGGGAAGATGGGGAAGCGGAGCGCGGCAAAGGATCGATGGGGTTCCTCCAATGTGGCTGATTCCCAATCACATGGTTTGTCGGAAGGCCACTCCAATGTGGTGGTCCTCGGGGCACTGCTACAAAGCACCTTGCTCTCTCCTTTAATAGGCTCTCTTAGCGGCACCTACACACGCTAAGCACGCTGTCGTCCCGCATCAACACACCTGCATGGTTTGCCAATAAGCTCGGGGCACGGTTGAAGCAAGATGTGCTACAAACAAACCCTCGACGTCACCCCCATCTTCCCTGCCTGATGATTTACCCCAGCAACCCACCCGGATGGTTTGACAAAAGGCCTCCAGAATGCGATTGTCCTTGGGGCACGGCTGCAAATCACCTTCTTCCCCCTTTGATCACTCCCCATTCCCTCTCCTTCCCCCAGCAGCCCCACCCGGATGGTTTGTCGGAAGGCCTCCAGAATGCGATGGTCCTCAGGGCAGGGGTGAGCAGCCTCTAGCTCCGCCACCTGCCGCCGCAGGAGCTCCTCGAAATTGGTCGGCTGGAGGGAAACGAGAGTGGGGGTGGGTGGGTGTGGGAAAGGGGAGAAGTAGGGGGGGGGGAGAGGTTGTCAACAACTTGGGTGAGTAGTTTTTGGCTCCACCACCTGCTGAAGAAGTAGCTCCTCGAAACTGGTGGACTGGAATGGGATGGGAGGAAGGGGAAAAGAGAAGAAGAAAAAGGAAAGGGTGTGGGGGTGGAAAGGGGTGGGCACAAAAAACAGCAATCAACAATCAACAGCGTCTCATGAGCTGTGGCACTATATTGTGTCACTGAATCGCCTATAAACGAGTACATAGCTTCAGGGAGTACATTACTGTGTCAGTGTACTGGTAGCTGCCTCGCACTGCCTCCAGTGCCTTCTGGTGCAGCGACATCGCATGAGCCTCTAGTGCACGACAACCCCATAGGGAGTACATTACTGTGCCAGTGTACTGGTAGCTGTCTCGCACTGCCTCCAGTGCCTTCTGGTGCAGCGTCATCTCATGGGCCGTCTCCACCACCTTTCGAGTCATTGCCTCTAACTCCGCCACCTGTGAGTGTGCCACAAACGAGGGGGTAACACAAAGTGTGTGACACAAAGGGTGTGACACAACGCGAGTGACACATAAGGGGTGACATAAACCGGCGTCTGATACCACCCACGACTGAGACACAATGACAGGAGAGGTATAATAAATTGGACAGCGGAGTTATGCAGAAGACTCAACCAAAATCTCTGTCTTTCTCCACTACCACCCGCAAGCACATCTTAGATCTCAACCCCTCCCCTCACAACCCCCCCTACCCCTCCACCCCCCTTGTGCCTCAGATATTTTTTTTTCTCACCCTCTCTGTCTCACCCTCTCTGTCTTGCCCTCTTTCTCCATCGCCTCTGCTAGCAGCTTCAGCTGCACCGAGCTGCTCTCGATCTCCTGAGGAAAAAATCAACCAGTGCGGAGGTGGAGGGGGATGAATTTTGAGATATTTCGAAAGGAATGATTGTTGAATCAATTCGAAACTCTTTATCGCCGGCTAGCACCTTCAGCTACACCGAGATGCTCTCGATCTCCTGAGGATCAAGTCAACCAGGCGCGGAGCGGCAGAGGTAGAGGGAAGGGTCGAGCGACTGTTAGCTGAGCTGCGAAGCTAAAACCGGACAACGAAAAGCGACGGCGAAAATGACCACACGAGTGAGAGTGGATGAGTCGATGACGAGACAAAGCCTCTCCTGCTGGCCTTGAGACGATCTCAGGTGTCTTTTGAGTCAACTCAAGAGACTCAAGAGTGCACTTGATGGCGACGGGACAAGGCGAGCTGGCCTGCTGGCGTGGAGGAGAATTGGAGATTGGACGCCAGCAGAGATTGGAGGCATCGACGGCTGAGATTGCAGGAGGCAGGGAGGTCACGACCCAACCTGTAGTAACGAGATTGCGAATCACTGAATTCCTGATAGGGAGCCAGAATGACTTGCCAGGACCCTAAGTCCCTGATAGAGAGCCAGAATGACTTACCAGGACCCTAAGTCCCTGATAGAGAGCCAGAATGACTTACCAGGACCCTAAGTCCCTGATAGAGAGCCAGAATGACTTACCAGGACCCTAAGTCCCTGATAGAGAGCCAGAATGACTTACCAGGACCTTAAGTCCCTGATAGAGAGCCAGAATGACTTACCAGGACCCTAAGTCCCTGATAGAGAGCCAGAATGACTTACCAGGACCCTAAGTCCCTGATAGAGAGCCAGAATGACTTACCAGGACCCTAAGTCCCTGCTAGAGAGCCAGAATGACTTACCAAGACCCTAAGTCCCGGAAAGGAAACCAACATGACTTACTGCTTGCAGGCGATTCTCGTCGCCTATCAAGCCCCTAACAGTACTGGCTATTTTCTGCGTTAAAGCCCGCTCCGCCATTCCCGCCTCTACACTGCGGTGTATGTCCACCACGAGTCGCGCCTGCTGGAGATGTTCGAGTCAACTCAAAAGCGGCCTGCTAGGGGTGCCTATTGATGTCGAAAATCCGCTTGGATTGGTACTTGATGAGCCTAGCTCGGTTGTGAGCTACTTAGCTGACTACGAGTAGCGTACGGAAAGAAGGGCCCAGTTACCATGTCGAATATAGGTAATGGCTGCAATGGCGAATTATCTGTCAGCTGGAACAAAGGGCGAAGAACTCCTAAGATTCAAGTCCTTCGTTGCTGAGTCTTCTCCGCGTTACCCGCTGTTCTAGCAAAAACTAACTTCCAGAAAAAAGGAGAATTGCGACACAATCGAAGGAAAAATAATTTCGATTAGCAAAACTGGCGGGATCCCCAACGGTCACCGTTTTCGCGAAGCGAGACGAAATAATTCGCGACGGGACATTCGCGAAGCAACCAACCACAACAGAGCCTGGCGCTGAAGACTTTTGAAACTGGAGGGGTTACCTCAAAAGTCAACTTTGGCTCTATCGTTGAAATTTCGCAATCGTCTTCTGTCGTTACCAGCCAATCGCTTCGCTGGCGAAAACTCATTTTCAGTAACCCCCTCGAGATTATCCGAATCTCCCAGGCAAAGCCAGAGCAGACTACAAGATTCTCTGCCACGAAGCAAAGCCCAAGAACAGTGCTTCATTCACAGATTCCTTAATACATTCCAGCCCATACTCGCTCTCGTCCAAGTGATTGGTTCTATTCTCCATTCCCTCTGAATCTCCGTTCCGCATTTCGTTGGTGGTCGCGGGGTCTCTCCACCCACGTACGCATGGACGATGCGAATGTGGAAGCGCAAACCCGACTAGCGACCGCGGACTGAGAGCCTTTTTCCCCGCAGTCTCTTCAATTCTAGACCCCGGTTTTAATTCATCATTCGGCATCGACGCCTGCTCGCATTAGTGCGTCGTCTCCTGGTCGTGTGACCGAATCATTCGGCACTTTCAGGGACATTTGACCCTAAGCCCTAGACTCAAACAAAAGTCTTGGAAACAAACGTCGATATGGCGTTGAATTCGCAGGCTTCACAGCAGCTGATGTCTTCCGGTCGTCTCCCAGCCGTCTTATCCGCACTGGTGCGTCCGACTGCTGCTTCTTGTCGAACGCAAAGGCAGCAATCCCCTGTTTTACTCCGACGTCTTCATCCGTGTTTCCACGCCAGACCTTTTCCACCTGCCGCCTTTCATGCGCTAACCTGAATTCTCTCTTTCTCCCGTCCCCACTGCAGCTTCCGAGGATCGTATCCCGATCTCTCGCTTCGCTCGAGCAGAACCGTCATTCTTCTCTCCAACCGAATCTTCACTCTTCGCTGCAACAATCCCCCCCCTCCACATCCGGATCCCCTCCTCCTATCTCTCCATCCTTCATCTCGCCACCCACGCTCGCAACCTCTCCCTCTCCCACGCCCAGATTTTCTCCCGATTCCTCCACCTCACCATCCCGCCCCTCATCCCCGTCCTATCCCGCCCCCGCCTTCCTTCCGCACGGATCTTTCTCCCGCCTATCCTTATCCTCCTTGCACCAATCCCTCTCGAAACTTCAAGACAGTCTGGTGTCTGGCTCAACTCTCCACCAGTTCTCCTGCCATCATCGGTCCTTTTCTAATCTTCCGGATAGCACGGTGTACGGCGGGCCGAAGCCTGAGTCGCAGAGGCAGCGCGTGACGCTGCAGCAGGTGGGCAGCAAGTACCGGCGGGGCGAGCCCATCGTGATGGTCACGGCGTATGACTACCCCTCCGCCGTGCATGTCGACATGGTGAGAAGTTGGGTGTAAACGGACGTAAGGCATGTTGCCATGGTGAGAAGAGTGCATGTTGCCATGGTGAGAAGAGTGCATGTTGATATGGTGCGTACTATCTTGCAACAGATCATACGGTGTATGGCAAGCCCATGGTGATGGTCACGGCCTATGACTACCCCTCCACTGTGCACGTGGACATGGTGAGAAGCGTGCATGTTGACATGGTGAGAAGCGTGCATGTTGACATGGTGAGAAGCGGGGTTCAGACCATATAAGGATACCAAGCACGTGAACAGCGTGCATGTTGACATGGTGTCAAGTGAGTTGTAGATACAGAGGTGTCTGGAGGAGCGGATTCGGAGGCTGGGAGGCAGCGTGTGACGCTGCAGCAAGTGAGCAGCAAGTACCGGTGGGGCGAGCCCATCGTGATTGATTGCCACGCCGTGTGTCAACCCCTTCACCGTGCATGTGGACATGGTGAGAATCGGGTTGTGGACAGATGTAAGGCCACCAAGCTTGTGGAGAGGGTGTAAGCTGGCATGGTGAGAAGCGGGTTGTAGTACATAGATACATCGGTGTATGGAGGGGCAAAGCCCGAGGCCAGGAGGCAACGCGTGTCGCTGCAGCAGGTGGGCAGCAAGTACTGCCGTGCACGTCGACATGGTGAGAAGCGGCTTGAGGGGCTCTTGGGCAGGTACGCGTATCACGCATGTTGACATGGTGTGCAGTGAAGTGTATGCATGTTTGCAGACGGACATAGACATCTGCCTGGTGGGCGACCCAGCAACCATGGTGGTGCGCCTTCCTCCTTTCACTGCTCGTCTCCTCTCAACACACAATATCCCCTCCCCCCCTCTTCTTCCTTCTTCCAGGCGGACATAGACATCTGCCTGGTGGGCGATTCAGCAGCCATGGTGGTGCATGGGTACGACACCACTCTGCCCATCACACTCGAGGACATGCTGCTGCACTGCAGGTGATTATATGGATGCATGCGTGTGACTGTTACAAGTGTGTTTATCTCGAGTAATGCAGCCGTGGTGGTACATGGGTACGACACCACTCTGCTCACCACGCTCGGCGACATGCTGACTGAGTCCCAACCTCTCTTCCTCGCCCTCTTTTCATTCCCTTTCTCTCTTCTCCTCTTAGGGCTGTGGCACGGGGAGCCTTTTTTCGAGGCACCTCAAAAAATTGCTGACTGAGTCCCAACCTCTCTTCCTCGCCCTCTTTCCATTCCCTTTCTCCCTTCTCCTCTCAGGGCGGTGGCAAGAGGAGCCTCTCGCCCATTGCTGGTTGGAGACCTTCCCTTTGGCACATACGAGCAGAGCCCACAGCAGGTGAGGGAACGAGTGGCAGAGATTGCAGCAGTGAGGGAACGAGTGGCAGAGATTGCAGCAGTGAGGGAATGAGTGGCAGAGATTGCAGCAGTGAGGGAACGAGTGGCAGAGATTGCAGCAATGAGGGAATGAGTGGCAGAGATTGCAGCAGTGAGGGAACGAGCGGTGGAAATCCGCAGCAGGTGAGGGGCAGTAGAAAGTTCTGCTCATTTGCTCAAGGAGGGAAACATGGATGCAGAGAAGATAGAGGGGGGAATACCTGCGTGGGTGGCGGCAGCGCGGGTGGTATCTGAGGCGGGTATAGCTGTGATGGGGCATGTGGGGCTCACTCCGGGTGCTGTTCACTTCCTTTCCCCTCTCCCTACTGCACTTACAGGCAGTGGAGAGTGCGGTTCGTTTGCTCAAAGAAGGCAACAGGATGCAGTGAAGACAGAGGGGGGCATTCCAGCACGGGTGTCGGCAGTTGATGGGGTTGCTCTCTCTTACTCTTCCTCTACCCCAACCCCCTGTTTCCCGCCCCTCTCACAGGCTGTGGAGATTGCGGTTCGTTTGCTCAAAGAAGGCAATATGGATGCAGTGAAGATAGAGGGGGGCATACTGGGGCGGGTGGCGGCAGCGTGAGTGGTGTCTGAGGCGGGCTTTTCTGTGATGGGGCATGTGGGGCTCACTCCGGGTGCTCTTCACTGCCTTTCCCCTCCCCTACTGCATTTACAGGCAGTGGAGAGTGCAGTCCGCTTGCTTAAAGAAGGCAACATGGATGCAGTGAAGATAGAGGGCGGCATACCAGCACGGGTGGCAGCAGCGCGGGCAGTATCTGAGGCGGGTATAGCTGTGATGGGGCACGTGGGGCTCACCCCGCAGGCCATCAGCTCGCTGGGGGGCTTCCGACCCCAGGGCAGATCCGCTGCCAGTGCGCTCAAGGTGGGTATGGGGGAGGTGGGGTGTAGGGGAGGTGGGGACTGCACAGGTGGGATTTGTGGGGCTCACTCCGCAGGCCATCAGCTCGCTGGGGGGCTTCCGCCGGAGATCCGCCGCCAGTGCGCTCAAGGTGGGACCTGGGGGGGGGGGGGGGGGGGGGGGGGGGGTGGGACCTGGGGGGGGGGGAGGTGGGACCGGGTGGGGGGAAGGTGGGACCGGGTGGGGGGAGGTGGGACCTTGGCGGGAGGTGGGATAGAAAGAAAAGAGGTGGGCCCTCTCCCACTCTAAGCTGGCCCTACAGGAGACCGGGTGCTTTGCAGTGGTGCTGGAGTGCATGCCAGCAGGGGTGATGCATGATGAGTCGACTCAAAGCGTTACATAACAAGCCCACCCATCCTCCTCTCTTCCCCACTCGCAGGTGGTGCAACATGCACAAGCCCTTCAAGAAGCTGGTTGCTTTGCAGTGGTGCTGGAGTGCATGCCTGCAGTGGTGGCAGCAGCCGTCACAGCAGCCGTCGACATTCCCACCATCGGCATCGGGGCAGGGCCCCTGTGCAGCGGTCAGGTGAGAGGAGGGGAGCAGAGTCTATTTTTGAGGCGCCTAAAAAATGGCGGTCAGGTGGGAGGAGGGGAGCCGAGTCTATTTTTGAGGCGCCTCAAAAATAGCGGTCAGGTGAGAGGAGGGGAACAGAGCTTGTATTCATGCCCTTGCACTGTCGCCAGAACAGTTGCTGCTGACATTCCTGCCACTGGCAGCAGGGCAGGGCTTCTCTGCAGCGGAGGGGTGAGAGAGTGAGATTGGGTTGTGTGGACGAGTTAGGGGGTGACATGACGCCGTTTGAGGCTACCCAACAACCAGCCTGCCATGTCATCCTCCTCACTCTTTGTCTATCTCCATCCCGAGCACCCATTGCCGCATCGCTGTCTCCAAGTGCTTGTATACCATGGTCTTCTGGGGATGATCCAACATGAATTTGAGGTGCCTCAAAAACCTACCCATCAACCAGCCTGCCCTGTCATCCTCATACTCCGTTTGTCTCCATCCCAAACACCCATTACCGCCTATTTGATTCCAGGTGCTTGTATACCATGATCTTCTGGGGATGATCCAGCACCCACACCATGCCAAGGTACGCATCCCTCTACGTCTATATAGGTATTACTGTTGTTGTTTTAAGCTAGTTAATGATGCCTTAGTGATTGCGTCCTGGTATTATTACTGCTTTTGTACACTTGCCTGCACACTGCATCAGCAGTTTTTGCATGTGCCCGTATTTCCCAACTGCCCCTGGCTCGGACTATACTGGGGAGGAGCGTCACTATTCCACCGTTGTGAAATGACTGGACTTGCGTTCTGTGTCTTGAGCAGGTTACCCCCAAGTTTTGCAAGGCGTTTGGCCAGGTGGGCGAGGCCATTCAGCAGGCGCTCAATGCTTTTAGGGAGGATGTCACTACCCGTGCATTTCCCTCTGCGCTTTATTCCCCTTATAAGATTGATGATGCTCAAATAGAGTCGTTTGCTAAGCTCCTCAAGTCCCATGGTTTGACCAGCTCAGCGGAGGCTGCAGAGGCAGCTGCAGAAACCGCAGCAGCTGATGCTGACAGGCTGTCGAAGATTGTGTAGGAGTTGGGGGTGTTGGCGTGTACGTAATAATCGTGGATTCTTGGTCATTTTTGGTGTACGAGTTTTACATCTTGCCTTTCATGTCACTATTGCTGGCATTGTGTTATGAAAGTCGCTTGCTTTCCACACGAGAGTGAGGAGAGTGGGGAGAGAGTGGGCAGAGTGCGGAGGGAGTGAGAAGAAAGTGGTTAGAGAGGGGATAGAGTGGAGAGAAAGTGGGAGAGTGGGGTCAGTGGGGAGAGTGTGGGAAGACAGTGAGGAGAAAGTGTTGAGAGAGTGGGATGAGAGTGGGGAGAGTAGGGAGGGAGTGTGGAGAGCGTGAGGAGACAGTGGGTAGAGAGTAGGGAGAGTGGGGAGAGCGTAGGGAGAGTGTGGGGAGAGTGGGAAGAGAGTGGGGAGAGTTGGGGGAGAATGGAGAGAGAGTGGGAAGAGAGTGCGGAGAGAGTGGGGAGAGTGGGGGGAGAGTAGGGAGAGTGTGAGGATTGTTTGGAGAGAGTGGGCAGAATGAGGAGAGAGTGGGATGACACTGGGAAGAGAGATGGGAAGGAGTGGGGAGAGAGTGGGAAGCAGGTGAGGAGGGAGTGGGGAGGGAGTTGGTAGAGTGGGGAGAGGTTAAAGAAAGTGGCCAGAGAGTGGGAAGAAAGTCGGAAGAGTCGGGAGCCAGTGGAGTGACACTGGGAAGAGTTGTGAGAGAATGGGGAGAGAGTGGGGAAGTTGGGAGAGAGTGGGCAGAGAGGGGAAGCAATGGGCAGAGTGTGGAGAGACTGGGAAGAGGGTGGGAAGAGTGGGGATAGAGTGGGGAGAGAGTGGGGAGAGAGTGAGAAGAGAGGGGTCAGTGGGGAGAGAGTGGGGAGACAGTGTGGAGAGAGTGGGGAGAGAGTGGGGAGAGAGTGGGGAGAGAGTGGGGAGAGAGTGGGGAGAGTGGGGAGGGAGTGTGGAAGTGTTAGGAGAGAGTGGATAGACAGTAGGGAGAGTGGGGAGAGAGTGGAGAGAGTGGGGAGAGATTGGAAGAGAGTAGGCACAGTGGGAAGTGAGTGGGAAGAGTGTGGGAAGAGAGTTGGGAGAGTGGGGAGAGAGTGGGAAGAGTGGGGAGAGAGTGGAGAGAGTGGTGAGAGTGGGGAAAGTTGGGAAAGGGTGTGTAGAGCGTGGGGAGAGAGTGAGGAGAGACTGGGGGGATTTGGGAAAGGGCCATAACTCTAAACAAATCCGGACCGTCCGTAATCAGCTGCGTTTCTGCAGGTGAACAAATCGATGAGCCCACACAGCTGGTTCGACTCCCCTCTCCCCTCACCGCCATGTTGCTCGAAAACGGTAACTTTCTCAATCTTCGCAACTCGCTCATGTTCTTCGCAACCCGCGTGTTCCCCACCCACGCGTACTTCGCCCCGCCTTGGGAGTTCCCCTCCAATGTTTCACCCAGAGGGATTTGCAATTTTGCACCGCACTGGACGTCTCCCATACCGTTACCGCAACTTACCACGCGCTTGCCGCGCGCTTGCGGCGCCCTTGCCGTGCCCTTACCGCCTGCACGTCTGCTAGTGTCTGCTTCTCGCTCCAACCCTCCATACCTGCCGTGGTTGTGTTACCGAATCCCGAGATTCTCAACAGTGGTGAGTCCCGAGATTCCCGAGATACCAGCCGACACCATACCTGCCGTGGTTGTGTTATCGAATCCCGCCATCATCGTTCTAGACGGACCATAAGGTTGTGTGTTGCGGTTCCCGTTTCTTAATAGTGAAAACCATCTGGTTTCCTGTTTTGTGGCTGTACAGGCGGCGTTTTCAGCTTACGTTTCAACGTAAACTCCTGACCCGCGATAATCATGGCGAGGCCGAAGCAGCGATCGCCCAGGCGTAGCAGGGCAGCAGCGGCGCAAGACACTTCGGCCAGACGGGCCGCAACTAGTGGTACTAGAACTGCCAAATCCGAGGGTAAGTACCCTTGTGATTTAGAGATTCCCGAGAAATGGAAACAGGTCTAGTTTTGAGGTGCCTAAATATAAGGAAACGGGATAAATAGATTCCAAGCTATTTCTCCGCGAATTCTGGCAGATATGCATGAACGGTCTATTTTTTAGGCGCCTCAAAAATAGACTCCTCACGCACGGCAAGTATGCATGAACAAGCTGTCACAGGTTAGAACCGTTCGTAATGAGTCGATTTTTGAGTCGAATCAAAAATCGACTCATTACACATGAGCAAGCTGTCACAGGTTAGAACCGTTCTACTAGCCCTCTTGTTTCGCCATCTCCGTTTTTAAGGTGCCCCGCCTTATAAAACGCCCGCCTAAAAAAACGGGCGCGACGACACATGAACGATTTCGTAAACTCCTCGCGTTCTCCTTCGCGATTTTTGCTTAATTTTTTGAAATTAACAAGAAATAATATAACATTCTCTAGCATGTTTCTTCAACCCCTCAAGTCATGTCCCTCGATTTTCTCGTCCCGCTGCACTCCCCCTCTTCCCCTACACCTTCCTCCTCCCTCTCCCGCCTCCCCCTCTCCCCCCCACCTTTCCCCCCTGCCCCGGCCCTGCCATGGTCTACTCTTTCCCTCCGGGGCAGTAGCGGTTAGACTTTGGGAGATGAAAGCCCAGCTCCCAAATTAGTCACGCAGGCATCAAATTGGGCCCAGTTTGATGCTGCCCGCGCTCGCGAACTACCCAAGTAAAATAAGAACCGACTACCACTTCGCCACCGTGAGAGGCAAAATCGATGGTAGGAATCAGCTTTACAAACTGGGCCCAGTTTGATTCGTGCACTTTCCGCTGTTGGGTCGGTCTTGCCAAACCCAACTTCCGTAAATCCCAGTTCTCGCAAGGTTTCCAATCGACGGCTGTAAATGTGCTCACAAATGGGGACTTCATGTGTCCCTGAGCCTCGGCCGTCAGATCCGCATTTGGCCCCACTTGAACTCCCAAAATCAAACTGGGCCCACCTTGCAGACGAAATCTCCCGCGAAGTAAGGGAATCACACTCTTTCGCACCCAATAAAATAAAATAAAATAAAAAATAATCCACCAGCCCAGCCCAAATTCTGCCTGTTGACTTGCGTAAACTAATTTGAAATCTCGGCTTTAAGAAGCGCAAGAAGACCTCGGAGCTCCTTATCTTCAAGCTGCCATTCATGTGGCTGGTGAGTGCCGTTCATGCGGCTGGTCTATTTTTTACGCGCCTCAAAAATAGATTCGGTTCATGCGGCTGGTGAGTACAGTTGCAAGTGGTGAGTACAGATGCAAGTGGTGAGTACAGTTGCAAGTGGTGAGTACAGTTGCAAATGGTGAGTACAGTAGCAAATAGTGGTTACAGTTGTAAGTGGAGAGTTCCGTTGCAAGTGGTGAGTACAGTTGCAAGTGGTGAGTACAGTTGCCAGTGGTGAGTACAGTTGCAAGTGGCGAGTACAGTTGCAAGTGGTGAGTACAGTAGCAAGTGGTGAGTACAGTTGCAAGTGGTGAGTTCCGTTGCAAGTGGTGGTGAGTACCGTTGCAACTGGTGAGTTCCATTGCAACTGGTGAGTTGCGTTGCAACTGGTTAGTTCTGTTGCAACTGGTGAGTTCGGTTGATGCTGATTGGCGAACTCCCTTATGATACACTGACGCAAGGGAGAAATCAAACTGGCATATGGAAATATCAAATAAACAAATAAATCGTTGTTTTTTCCACTACGTGCTTGTAGTGCAAGGAGATTTCTGGCGGCCTCACAGGGCCCTCAGAAATCAAGCTGGCATATGGAAACATGGAGCGAAGAAATTACTTTCAGTCTTCTCCACTATGTGCTTACAGTGCAAGGAGATCTCTGACGGCCTCACGGGGGCGACCATGAAGTGGACTTCCACTGCGTGCCTTGGGCTGCACGAGGTGCGTGCAGTGCTCGGAGGGGGTCAGGAGGGATAGGAGGGAATGGGTGCAGTGTCACTGCGTGCCTTGGGCTGCACGAGGTGCGTGCAGTGCTCGGAGGGGGTCAGGAGGGATAGGAGGGAATGGGTGCAGTGTCACTGCGTGCCTTGGGCTGCACGAGGTGCGTGCAGTGCTCGGAGGGGGTCAGGAGGGATAGGAGGGAATGGGTGCAGTGTCACTGCGTGCCTTGGGCTGCACGAGGTGCGTGCAGTGCTCGGAGGGGGCCAGGAGGGATAGGAGGGAATGGGTGCAGTGTCACTGTGTGCCTTGGGCTGCACAAGGTGCGTTGACCGTTGAAATGGAAAGCTGAGGAAACGAGGCTCGTGCGAAATGGAACATCATTGTGCGTTGTCTTGGGTGTCTTGGGTGTCTTGGTTGTCGTGAGCAATGGCCACTGCGTGTCTTGGGCCGCATGACGTGATGTGGGACTGAGGGGGCCGGGGTGTGGGAAACGGGGAACGGGAGGGAAAGGGCGAATGGGGAGATGCTGCAGAATCCTCCAATGAGAGGGGCGCTCGTGAAGTGCAGTGTCAATGCTTGCCTTGGGCGGCACGAGGTGCACAGACTGAGGGGGAGTGGGGAAAACAGGGTGGGGGAACGAGGGGAGGGGGGGGAGGCAGAAGGGGGGAAGAAATGGGAACGTGCTGAGATGACGGGCAATGCTCTGCGTGCAGTCTTGCACTGCAAGCAATGGGCAAGCAATGCTCTGCGTGCATTCTTGCACTGCAAGCAGTGGGCAAGCAATGCTCTGCGTGCAGTCTTGCACTGCAAGCAGTGGGCAAGCAATGCTCTGCGTGCAGTCTTGCACTACAAGCAGTGGGCAAGCAATGCTCTGCGTGCAGTCTTGCACTCCAAGCAGTGGGCAAGCAGTGCTCTGCGTGCAGTCTTGCCCACTGCTTGCAGTGCAAGAGGCGGGAAGGGAGAATCAGGGAAGAATTTGGGGGGTTTCCTCTCCGTCTTCCCTCAATCCATTTGAGGGAAGAATTTGGGGGGTTTCCATTTGGGGGGTTTTCATTTGGAGGGTTTCCATTTGGGGGGTTTCCATTTGGGGGGTTTCCATTTGGGGGGTTTCCATTTGGGGGGTTTCCTGTCCGTCTTCCCTCAATCCATTTGCTGCACCTCAACGCACCTGCTCCCTCAACCTGTCTCCGTCCCACTCCCTCACCCTTGCTTCCCCGCCTTGTTCTCTCTCCCCCCTTCCCACCCTCTCTCCCGTCCTTCTCCCTCCCTTCTCTCCCCCTCCCCCCCACCACCCCCCCTTCCCCACTCCCCTCGCGCCTTCCCTTCTTACAGGCAGCAGAGTATGTTCTGGCGGAGCTGAGTATGTTATGTCCCCTCTACCCCCCTTCTCCCCTCTACCCCCCTTCTCCCCCCCCCCCCCACCCTCCCTTCCCCTCCTCCCCACCCCCCACTCCCCCCATGCCACTCCTGTTTACAGGCAGCAGAATACGTTCTGGCGGAGCTGCTTGTTAAAGAAGCTTTGCAGGCCGTATCCGATAAAAGTGATGCTTAAGTAAGACTTGCCACAGCCTTTACCACTGCACGTTTTGCCTCTACTCCCTCCCACTGCACATAACTTCCGCTTCTCTCCGTACTCATTGTTCCTTTGTTTTTCCACGCTGTTTACGGCACTTGAAATCGATTACCGTCAAGTCGTGTTTCCTGCCTGACTTTGCTCTGAAGTTTCTAAGGGACCTCAAAGACCCTGCCTCCTCACCTCCGCTCCCTTCCTCCCTCACCCCTTGCCCTTTCCCCCGCCCTCCCCCCTCCCACCCCCACCCCACCCCACCCCCCACTCCCCTTCCCTCTCCTTTTCTGGCCACGTTTCCCACCCATATGTTGCAGAGAGCCGGAAAAAAAGAAGCAGACACCGGTTTGAGGAAAGAAACTTCCCGTTTCCGTCGAATTCGCACAACTCAATGCTGGTTTTCTACCTTGGAGCAGCGATCGGATCTGGTTCGACTTTCTCTCCGTCCTTCTCTCAACATCGACAGAAAATCCAGACCCTTCCATCAACCCCCGTGCCTCCCCCATGTGTGTGCGCTCTGAGTAGTCGTGTCCTATACATGAATTGTGAAGTTGTGCAACGTATCCACATACCGTAGTATGCACAATAGGATATGGCTACAATGTCTAAGACGAGGCACCCGCACTAGTGACGTTAGCATGTATAGGAACGTTCTTGCCTCGAGTGATGTATATGTGTGTTTTTTTCCTCACTTTCTATGTGTTGGAAATATCTCAAAGAACTTAAGCGTTTCTGAAGTGTAACACTACACTCGAGGAAGACTACAGGGGAGCACGCGAGTCAACGGAGGTTACACGAGGGGGCGGACAAAGAATGCGAAAAGACCCGAAAGGTCGCAACTGGAGGTTGCGACTGACCGTTACAGCATCACGGATGGTAACCGAAGCGGCAATCGAGTCGCTATGCGACTCGATAAACCGTTCCTGTAACTGTACTCTGCAACTGCTTTCTTATCTTCTATATATTGTTGTATGCTTGTTTCTTTAATTAATCACTTGTTCTCACATACTAGTACAAGGGTTCAACTGTCTCAACTTCCGCTGCACTACTCCAAGTCTCAAGTCTCTACAGCTGGGACTTAGTCTCTGCAAAAGATCCTAAGGGCTTTTTCTCAGCCCAACATGGTATGAGAGCTGGTCAGAGACCAAACTCCCAGCAACTACACTCCATCAACAACCAGCAACTCAACTTGATTCAACAACTCCATTGATTACAAGACATGGACAACAAGGGCAAGAAAGTCTCTACGGGCTCACCCAGCGCCCAAGAAACTCAACACGGCAACTCTGGTCTGCACACCTCAGGACTGCAGACAGAGACCGGGACTGCTCAAGAAACAACGGGAAGAGTACCAGAGATGGTGACTCCGTCTCCCTCTTCAAGTGTGGACCCGAATCTCATGGAGAGATTCTTCAGCTTCATGTCACACTTCGACCAGCAGCAGCAGACAAGGACACCTGCGCAATCAACACAGAGCAATGGAGGGAATATGGGATTAGCGCCGATGAGCCTCGACAACTCATCCTTCGGGCGACACAACCAAGCGCCTACCTTTGCGCCTTATCATTCTTCGCCGGGGACGTTCGAATTCATGCCGCCCCGTGCCCAGCCAACAGCAGCTGCATCACAACAAACACCGAATGAAATCTTAAGTTTACAGGCGCAGTTCTCACACGTGATCAAACTTCAGACATCCTCACCGTTCAACGGACACGACTTCTTTACCTGGAGCTTCGAGTTCGAGCTGCTGATGGAGGCCGCGCATCTTCTGGGATACTTCAACGGGTCCCTGCCATTCCCAAGCAACGGCACTGGGAAGGAACAAGAGATCTTCACATATCAGTCGCTGCTGGCGTACACGGTACTCCTGAGAAACCTGTCACCACAAGAGCAGCAGAGCATCAGAACGTATCGGAGTTATGGAAACTCCGCGGAGCTCGCATGGCACCACCTCAAGTGCCTTTACCAAGCAAACGACAGCGTGACACAAAGCAGACTCATGCAACAGCTGACAACAATACAGATGAAGACCGGGGAAAAGGCGATGCAGTGTATGAGTCGCTGCCAGACCCTCCGCGACCGCCTGCTTCGGTGCGGAGGAACGATCACTGAAGAAAGCTTCGTGACACTTGTCCTCGCCGGGCTCGGGCCAGAATGGAGAACCACACGATCACTTCTTCGAGCCCACGGAAGAATTTCGGAGATGCACCTCTGCGCCGAGCTTCACGCTGAACAACAGGAGATGGATCTGTTCGAGGAAAGACAACCAAGGAAGCAACAGCAGTTAGTCTTCTACACTCAAAGAAGAAATGACAACAACTACAACCGACGCAGCAAGCAAGATCAACGCGACAATCGAGGACTCACCATCGTACCGCCGTTCTGCCACAACTGCCAGACTTCCGGGCACTCCAAAGTCAACTGCAACCGCCCTCGCGTTTACCGTGCAGCAGACCCACAAGTCGCTTCCACTCAAGCAAGTCCTCCAAGGCGCTCTTCAACATCTGCACAACAAACACCCAACATCATCAACTGCATGGTACACATCGACAACTGCGCACCCGGTTCACCACCCACTTACGCACCAGACGAAGAGGAATTCCCGCCGCCGCGCTCGCAAGGACTTCAGGTCAACCCGACATACGCTGCAGTCGCCAACGCCGAACCCACCGGGCGAAACACCTGGTTCTTGGACAGCTGCTGCGGTCAACACATGTGCTCCTCGGGACGCTTCGTGCAACAGGAGAAACGACTCAACCGCGACGTCGTCATCACAGTCGCCAACAACGAAAACCTGAAGACAAACAGACAAGGCGTGGTTCAGTTACAATCCATGGAAACAAACGTAATACTGCAGCTCAACAAAGTGCTCATTGTCGACAACCTGGGATACAATCTACTAAGCGTAAGCCAACTAATGGCCAAAGGGATTCACCTGGAGTGCGACTCTTACTCCAACGAGTTCCGGCTTTACCACGGGAAGGGCGGCCTCTTCATCGGTTGTGCCCTCCTGAAGTCCGGTGTCTTCGTGTTGGACTTCGTCCCCGACCGCGGAACTGCCGACAGCGATGGCATCGTATCGTTCGCCGCCTGGACTCACCCGCCAGATCTTGATCCCGACTTCGACAGTGACGGCTTCTGGCACTCCAACACCATACCTGCAGCAGAGAGAACACGAGCATTAGCAGTTATCAGACAAGAAAGACAAGTACCCGCAAGTGTCCCAACAAAACCATCACCTGCAGTATCGGCAGCAGGACCCAGCCGAGTACCACCACCATCAACACGAGGACCGCCAACGGAAGCAGACCAACTTATGCCCGCCACACGAGAAGCTTGTCGAAGTCCCGCCTCGGTCGTCGCGTTCTTCTCCAACGCCGACATCTACCACCGCTCGCCCGGTCACCGTGCTCCCGACGACATCTGGCACCAACGCCTCGGACACCCTGCAAACAGCACAATACTTCAAACAATCCAAGCAGAGGTGTTAGAACGCAACGCCCTTCTGACGACGAGCGGTCAAGAACTTCGACGACCACGCGCAC